GAAGTTGAAGGTTTGGAACACAAATGCGGATGGATTAATGAATAAACATGAGGAATGGCAATAAAGAATCAATGAGATGTCCCCAGACATCATAGCAGTTACAGAAACAAAACTCACGGAGACAATAACAGATGCAATCTTCCCACCAGGATACCAGATCATGAGGAAAGATAGAAGGGGCAGAGGGGGAGGAGGGCTTGCTCTGCTCGTAAAAAACAGATGGAAATTCGAGAAAATGGGAGGCATAGACGAGACAGGAGAAAGAAACAACATATTAGGCACACTTCAGTCTGGGGAGCACAATGTGGTCATTGCAGTGACGTATAATCCACCAGAGAACTGCAGGAGGCCAAGAGAGGAATATGAAGAGAGCAAGAGAGCAATGGTGGACACACTTGCTGAGTTGGCAAGAAGAGCTCACTCCAGCAGAGCAAAGTTGCTGGTTATGGGGGATTTCAACCACAAGGAGATTGACTGGGAAAACCTGGAGCCACACGGGGACCCAAAACATTGAAAGCCAAGATGTTGGATGTGGTGCTGGAAAACCTTATGCATCAACATGTTCAGGACACTACCAGAGTGAGAGGGGAGGATGAACCAGCAATATTGGACCTTGTGTTCACCCTGGGCAGTTCAGACATTGAGGACATCATGTATTAGAGTCCCCCAAGGAGCTAGCGACCATGTGGTTCTGTGCTTTGAATACTTAGTAGAGTTGCAAGTAGAGAGAGTAACAGGAGTTGAATGGGTAAAGCCTGACTATAAAAGAGAGGACTACATAGGGTTGAGGAACTTCCTGCAGGAGGTTCCATAGGACAGAGAACTGGCAGGAAAGCCAGTAAACAAAAATGTGGAAAAGCAACAACAAAATGCAAGGAGGCAACAGAAACAGGGGGAAGACCGGGAACAGCTCCCTTTTTTTACCCGACGGTTTTAAAGAGGAAAAAACAAAGTACAATAAGGGAAAAAAAGTACAGAAGGCAGAAAACACACAAAAATTTAGGGAATCAGACGCAGACCCCGGGAACATTTGCACGGGTAAGGAGGGGGGCCCCCAGCAACATTTTTTAAAAAATACATAGCATCAAAAAAAGACTGCCCCCGAAAGGGGGGGGGGGTAAAGCCCACCCAGGGAAGACAACAGTCGAAAAACCTGGTGATTAGATTGGGGAGAAAAGGGTGGAGAACTCAAAAAGAAATGATGAGGAGGTAGGGTTGAGGAGGCAAAAAACAGGAAACATAAGGAAGTTTTTTAAAAGTAGAGACGGGAAAGGGGTTTTGGGGAAGACAGCACTAAAAGGGGAACATCAAAAGGGAATATACAAAAATGTTGGATACAAACAAAAACCCGAGGAGGGGGTGCAGAATTTCAAAGTGACCTTGATACCTCAAAGGCATGGGCCAAGACAACATCTCCCCCAGGGGGTCCTAAGAAAAGGAGAAAGAGATGCTGTGAAAAGCCCCAAAACCACAATTTTCAACACATCCCTTGAAACTGGGCAACCCTTTGGGAAATGGAAACAGCAAATGGAGCCCCCCATATTAAGAAAGGAAACAGAAAAAAGGCACTAAACTACAGTTTCCGTGCTCTGCACCTGGAACGGAACAAGATTATAAATAAAAACCAGCGGGGTTTCAGGGAAGGAAAATCCTTTTCCCACCCCCCCTCCTGGATTTTTAAAATGAAAAGGTAACGAAGAAACCCACGAGAAAGGGGGGGTTTTGAATGCGTCCCCCTAGTTTTGGCGGGAAAAGGCCTTTGAAAACATTCCGCACAAGAGATTACTGCAGAACTGGAGGATCAGGCGCAATAACACGATTAAAGGAAATAAAAGATTTTGTCACAGTGGCCCCTGTGACGAGAAAGGGCCCCAAAAGGGGTCATTTTTTTGGGATCAGTGCTATTTCGGGATATATGCCGAACAAACATGATGGAAGGAATAGCCCTCTGAAGTGGGCCCATTTGGGAGGTGGGTGTGAAAATTGATGAGAAGAATTAAATCGGAGGGGGTGAGGCAGGACTGCAAAAAAGGCCTGGGCAGGCTGGGCATTGGTCCCCAAAAATGGGCTTTTTCGAATTCAAACTTGCCAATGCAAAGTCCCTGAAGATTGGGGTGGGGAAAAAAAAAACCGCAACAGAAATATAGGCTAGGGGGACAAAGACTACAGACCCCCACTCAGGTAGAAAACCTTTGGGCGACCATAACACCGACACGTCCAAACCCGGGGGCCCCACATCAACCAAAAAAAATGCTGCCCGCATAAGGGGGCCCCGGGAAACCTAAATAGCGTTCCACACCTTAATAAGGGAAACTTCAAGAAAAACTTTTCACTGTATGTTTTGGCCCAACTGTAACTGATTTCATCAACAATATGAACAACACACTTCCCCATACCAACAAAACTAAACCAACAAGGCTCACTGAAAACAAGTGCCCAAACCCTAATAGACCACATATTGACCAAAAATACTAGCCCCCTTTAAATCAGGGGTAATCACAGATAGCACTACAGACCACAACCCTACCTTCCTCCTGACAAACATTAGTAAACCACCACTTGAATACAACAAAGTCTCATTTAGACTCCATGACGAGCCTCAGTAAGGAAGTTCACAGCTGACTTAGAGACTGTTGATTGGCCTACAGAATTCTCCAAGGCCAATGGTATTGATGACTGGACAGACATTTTTTCTAAACAAATTACTTAGACTATACAACAAACATTGTCCTATAAAAACGAAACAGATCACAAACAAACGGCTTGGTTGTCCTGGCTAACCAGCACCATCTGAAATCCATTGACAAGAAACACCAATATGAAAAGCAATATAGACAAGGCTTAATACACAAAGATATTCTTAAACACTATTCATCAGTTCTCACCAAAGTAATAAAGAAAGCCAACAACTATACTACTCCAGTAGATTCACAGACACTAGAGGAGATATAAAAAAGACCTGGAAAACACTCTCTCAGATTCTAGGGACCCACAAACTGAAAAAAAACAAGAATATTGTCATAACTAAACCTAATGAAACACCACTACATCCCACTGACACAGCTAACAAGATAAACGACTTCTCAACCATAGGATCTAATCTCGCCAATAAAATCCAACATACCAATGCCCATGCCGGGGACTACCTAGATGGGAATTTCCCAAATTCCTTCTATCTTGCACCAACTGAGCCCTCGAAGTCACCGAGATTATAAAGTCACTTAAAAACAACTCAGGGAATCTGTCTAATGTCCCACCATTACTGTACAAGCGAGCGGCCCATATCCTTTTGCATGCTATTTCATTACTTTTTAACAAGTCACTAGAAACTAGCACCTTCCCGAAACTACTCAAGATGGCAAGGGTTACACCAATACATAAAGGTGGTGACCCAACAGACGTAAACAACTATAGGCCAATATCAAACTTACCATTGCTATCCAAAATCTTTGAGAAACTCGTGCACAGGAGACTATATTCATTTATAACTGCACAAAATATACTCAACCCCTGCCAATTTGGATTTAGGAAAAATAAAAGCACTAATGATGCAATCATAAAAATGCTAGATCTGCTTTACACAGCATTGGAAAATAAGGAATATCCACTAGGAAATTTTATTGACCTAAGAAAACCTTTTGACACAGTAGACCACGACATCCTACTCCACAAACTTGACCATTGCGGTATAAGAAGCCATGCGCTTGCTTATTTCAAATCTTACCTTACTAATAGGTATCAGTATGTTACCATTAAAGACACAGCATCAACAACACGGCCACTTGATACTGGAGTTCCGCAGGGAAGTGTCCTTGGTCCCCTGCTCTTCCTCATATACATCAATGATCTTCCAAACGTATCCCAACACCTGAAACCCATTCTCTTTGCTGACGACACGACTTATGTCGTCTCTCACCCTAATCTTGCCACTCTCAACACCATTGTTAACGAGGAGCTGATCAAAATATCGACTTGGATGACAGCCAATAAACTTACGCTTAACACTGACAAAACCTACTATATTATGTTTGGTAGCAGAGCAGGAGATGCACAAATTAACATTAAGATCGACAACACTCTAATTACCAGACATGATGAGGGCAAATTCCTAGGCCTATACCTTGACAACAACCTGAATTTCAGCACCCATATCCAACACATAACCAAAAAAGTATCCAAAACAGTTGGGATCCTACGTGCCGCAAAATGCCTTTCTCACACTATACCACTTATTTATCCATACCTCACCTATGCTATTTGTGCTTGGGGATCAACTGCAGCAACACACCTAAAGCCAATAATAACCCAACAAAAAGCTGCAGTAAGAATAATCACTAAATCCCATCCCTGGCAACACACCCCCCACTCTTCATAGATCTAAACTTACTCCCTGTTCAGTACATCCACACTTACTACTGTGCATTGTACATTTACCCGACATTAAACTCCAATATCAACCTTGACCTAAAACACTTTCTTGATAGTTGTGACAGAACCCACAGGCATAACACCGGACACAAACATCTCTACAACATTCCCCGTGTCCGACTAAACCTTTACAAAAATTCAATGTATGTCAAAGGCCCTAAAATCTGGAACACCCTACCTGAGAACTCTAGAACTGCAGACACATTCATCACCTTCAAAACTACCATTAGAAAACATCTTATCTCCCTGATACACCCCATCAACTAACTACACGAATACCGCCTGGTGGTTCACACTTACACTCACTCACCCATTTGACCATAAAAAGAAATATTAATCTCAATTTTAAAATAATGAATCCTATGATACTCCAATACTGAAACTATGTACTGTGCCAAAACAAAAGCATTCACATTGCTAAACTCACAAACTAGTATTTAGTCACTTAGTCATAATACCAATTTACCTCATAATTTGTAATATTTTAAAATAAAGAATTAAACTAAGTCTGCCTAGCCATGCTAGGCGTTCTAGTGGTACACTCTGTAATCATTATTTAACTACATGTAAACCACACAACAACCAAATTCTGTAAATTCAACACTGTAATCATTATAGAGAATAAACTTTGAATTTGAATTTGATATTAACTTCCTGAGACTCAATAAAAGGTATAAAGTAAATTAGCCTCATTACAAGGTGATCATTCCCTTGGCATTCATCCAGCATAAAGACATGAAGATGGAGAGTTATGAATTTGAACATCAAGCGAGTTGCAGCAGTTGTAAACATCATCACAAGTGAGTGGTATCCACTTGTTGCTTTTGTATTAGATTGAAAAAGCCAGATATGAAGGTAAAATATAATGTCGGTAAAGATAACTAAGTGTTGCACATGAGTTTACTCATCAACTTATCTGTATTCCATTATATTAATGTTGCAATACTCTTCTGAAACAGTAACACCACGGAATTTTATGAACTTCTAACCATACTTGTTAGCATGACCTAATTTCACTAGTGGCACCTACCCATCTATGATGTTGTCTTCAACTACTGCACCTTTTCTCTTGCTCTAGAATATCTCCATTCTCATGCTTCAGTTTTACAGAGACAAAGGCAATGGGACTGAACATTTTTCTACGTGAGGCTTGTAGTTTTATGACTCACTTGCCATAAGTTCAATCCCCACTCATAGTATCGTTTATTTATCAAGGCTAAGAAACTGAACACCTTTTATCAAGGCTACGGACTTACCACCTTAAAGTTACCTCTTCACTTCTACAAATCTGTCCAGTGCAAAAGTTGCCTGTGCATTAAAATGATAAAGTTCATTGTGTCTCGTCAACTGAGATAAACAGGTGTCGCACATGTGTCAAATTCATCAACTAGTTGGTACTGTTTACCCTTATTGTAATGATATTTATATAACAAGGCAGCATATTGATGATATATTCTAAAATATTGATGATATATTCTAAAACTTTAATGCAAACCTCTGGTCTACCTAATGACAAAGACCAACTTCCAGTAGTGACTCACAACCATCTATGATGTTTATAACTAGCTAACCTCTTCTCCATCATCTCTCTGCTTTAGATTGCTTATAAGCTAAGAAACTGAACGTCTATCACAACTAACGGATTGAAAATCCTCTGAATTACCTCTCCCACTATTGTCTCCAGTAGAAAAAAGCCTTGTCTGACTTGTCTATCACATCTACATATTGGAATCTTGTTAGAAAAGATATTGTCTTGAGGACTATTGTGATATTCTGACTCTATTGGCATTACCTACTTCTATTAGTGGTCCCTGCCCACTTATGTTGTCTTTAGTTATTGCATCTCTTCTATGGCTAGAGTATATAAGCCTTTGCTTCATGACTAAGAGAGTGAACACCTATTAAAGCTTATGATCTGAAAACCTTAAAATAATCTTTCTACTTTTTCCTCTCTCTAGTATAAAAGTCCCTCATGTATTTAGATACAAAAGCTTTCTGAAGAGACTGAATATTTCGTCATTAATAAAATCTAGATTTGCCCATGTATCCTCTTCATTTCTCCTTCATTTTTACCAACCACTTCGCACTCGTCATTACATTTATCCAAAAGAATTTAGAATTTTATATTCTCTTGAGAAATGTAACTTGTAGATATTTAAATTTTTCTAAAATGTAACGTTTCATCTACAAGTTTTTGTGGAAACTACGTTAGAAAATAATATTAAACATTCCACCCAGAACAGGTCATTACCAAGATATTTCATAATCGTTGACCACTGTCTACATTTCTGCAGATGTGGGTCAGGTTTCCGTGTCTGTCGACTGGGAAAGGCAGGACTGCAACATATGTTACTGAAGAACACCTTCTTGAAGAATATACCAGAGGAGCTCATGTGGAGGCTGACGGAGAATGTGCCAGCGGTCGGTGTGTACCTTGATCCAAGTGTAACAAAGGAGGTGTTCCTGGACATCCAGAATTTACCCTACGCTGGAGACAATGAATTACCTGTATCTTGGATTTCTCCCACCGTTTGTGGTTATCTGGGTATGTTAGGGACAGAGAAAGGCTTCAGGAGACTGGGACATGCAACTCTGGTAACAAGGGTAGCAGCCAGACTATTAGCTAGTAAGGGTTGCATCCCTCACTGCAACGTAGACATCACAAACGCAGCTTCTAAAGAGATGTTTAATAAGATGACAGGATGGGAACAAACTCACTCTGGAATATCGTTCACGCCTGCTGAGAACAAACAAATATAAGTTAGAAGGAAACAATAACTTAATATATGAGACTTGTTTGAAATGTGTCCAAAATACCTAAATTTATATAAATATGTTGTCATATAAATATTCACTTCTCCCTAAATTGGTCTTTGAAAACATTTCTTCTTAAAGAACCCCAATGGAAATAATTCACTCTGACTTTTTTGGGTTATCCCAGTGTATAATTGAATAAACTTACCTACTTACCTACTTTCTAGCCAATTCTCTGACCTTTCTTATGATGATAATTTCCGTCATGAACCAAAAATATCTCAGCTCTGATTTTATCGTCAATATTTTCACTGCAAACACTCACTACGTACAAACGCACACACACACCACACACACACACACACACACACACACACACACACACACACACACACACACACACACACACACACACACGCACACAACTGGCTTCTCGAATTCAATCCAGCCAAATGCAAAGTCATGAAGATTGGGAGGGGCAAAGAAGAACCGCAGACAGAGTATAGGCTAGGTGGACAAAGACTACAGACCTCACTCAGGAGAAAGACCTTGGGTGACCATAACACCGAGCACATCACCGAGGCACACATCAACCAAATAACCGCTGCAGCACACGGGCGCATGGCAAACCTGAGAATAGCGTTCCGATACCTTAATAAGGAATCGTTCAAGACACTGTACACTGTGTATGTTAGGCCCATACTGGAGTAATGCAGCACCATCTGGAACCCACACCTGGTCAAGCACGTAAAGAAGTTAGAGAAAGTACAAAGGTTTGTAACAAGGCTAGTCCTAGAGCTCAAGGGAATGTCGTATGAGGAAAGGTTAAGGGAAATCGGACTGACTACACTGGAGGACAGAAGGTCAGGGAGACATGATAACGACATACAAGATACTGCGGGGAATAGACAACGTGGACAGAGATAGGATGTTCCAGAGAGGGGACACAGGGACAAGGGGTCACAACTGGAAGCTGAAGACTCAGACGAGTCACGGGGTGTTAGGAAGTATTTCTCAGTCATAGAGTTGTCAGCAAGTGGAATAGCCTAGCAAGTCAAGTTGTGGAGCAGGAACCATACATAGTTTTAAGAAGAGGTATGACAAAGCTCAGGAAGCAGAGAGAGAGAGAGGATCCAGTAGCGATTCAGTGAAGAGGCGGGCCAGGAGCTGAGTCTCGACCCCTGCAACCACAATTAGGTGAGTACACACACACACACACACACACACACACACACACACACACACACACACAACACACACACACACACACAACCCACAACACTACAAAATCCACCCATACACATATCCATAACACCTCCCACACACACACAAAAATCACCACAGCACACACACACACACATACACACACACACACACCACACACATACACACACACACAACCACACACACACACACACTACACACACACACCCACACACACCCACTCAAAAATCCACCCATACACACACCCACACACACACCACAACACACCACACTACATTCAAAAACACAACCACACACACACACATACACACACACACACACACGTGGGGGAAGACGTGGGAAAAAGGGCACCGAGATCCTTGCGTTGTAGGGCGGCAATGACATTTAGCAGAAATCATGGTATGGAACGTCAGTGAACAAATAAGGTGAAAAATTAAATTATTATTTTAAAAAAGGAGAGGAAGCTGAAATCAAAATTTCAAACGCAAACCGTTGGGGGTCTTAGGCCTTTTGCCACATTGGTAGCGGTAGGCCTAAAATGACGTCCGACAAGTTGTGTGCCATTAACATTAAAGGAAGTGAAAATGCAAAGTGTAACTATCATCATGAAATAAATCGCGGGGAAGCGGATGTATGAGAAAAGGTTAAATCTCAGGGTGAAGGACCCCAAAAATAGGATTTAAGGGCCCAACACGACGATTTCGCATCAGCACTGCAACTGTAAAACTGAATTTATTCGCCTTTTGGGTTTTTGCTTAGACCCCGGGCTGGCCTCATACTGTTTATACGGGTCCCACCCTGAAAGCATTCCAAATTTAAATAAAAATAGCAAGACAAGAGAATATGGGGTTGACGATGGGGGAAGGTAGGGGGGACAATTTTTTAAAGGGGCAACATTGTAAAGGGTGCTGGGAGGTCCCAGGAGGGTGTGTCGGGTCACAAGAATTGGGGGCCTCTTTACACCGCAGAAGTTCTCTCACACACACACCGCACACTCACACACACACACAGCACACACCACACAGGCTGTTACAACCGTAATTATTAGCATAAGAATACTTGGGAAGCTAGGATGCCCTCTAAATGTGAAAAAGGAAAAATGATAATAACCACAACAATTAATATGTAAACCAAAAGGGGCAATAAGGAAGAGTAGAAAATTTGGGAAAATAAATAGACAAAATTTGTCCCTACACACGGATCTTTAAACCCAAAAACAACCTACCCCCCCTAACCCTCCCCCCCTTTCCCCAAAACACACACACACAAGTAACACACACACTCAAAACACACACACACACACACACAACATACATACCACACATACACACACAACATACATACAAAACCATACACACACACAAAAACACAAACACACACACCCCCACCCCCAAAACACACACACACACACACACACACAAAACACACACCACACACACACACACACAACACACCCTACACACACACATCAGCAGACGTGGGTCAAAAGGGCTCCGGATCTTAGGGGTTTTTAAGGGTCAACAACTGCTAGCAGTAATCACGGTAGTGACAACATCATTGAACAATCCTACAGGAAAACCCAGAGTTTTAGTTAAAAAAAGTCGAAGAACCCTAAATCTTAATTTTTCAAATTTTCAAACCGTTATGATAGTAGGCTTCTTTGCACACAATTCAAATATACAAAGATTCAAGTGATGGGAAGGGGGTGTTCAAAAATTTCGAGGATTGGAAACAAGGAAATGGGGGGCCCCAAAAACAGTAAGTGAAAAAATTAAAAAGCAAAATAGAAAGAAAAAAAAAATATATAACAAGGGAAGGGGGCATTGGGCCTATAAAACAGGACGTCACAACATTGTGTGATTTTATACATATAAATGAACCCCGAAGGGGAATGAAACCCCAATATAATAAGTGTACTCTATCAAAAGTGACACGAGGGACGGGGGAGCATGAGCAATACGGTTATAAAGACACGGGTGAAGAATTTTCAAAATATGATAAAGGCTACGTCATCAGCATCGGCAATTTTGTCATGCAAACTCCCAGCTTAAGTATCACTCACCTGTTGGGGGGGTTTTTTGGGGGGGTTCTGATCCTGCTTGGTCCTTTAGATACGGGTCACTCACTCCGCAAGCATTACCAGAATTAGAGCAAAAAATAGCAAGAAAAGGTAAGATAGGGTTGACTACGAGGAGCAGCCTACGGGGGAAGCCTAGTAGGGTGACGCAGACACTCCTAGAAGCTCAGACAAGCAAATTTTTACAACCTAATTACTTTCTTGTTTTATAAGTAAAGTATAAGGCTAGAATCACTGTTGGTATTTTAGAAAAGGGGTATTACACTGAAAATTTATTAGCAGTATAAATATTTAAAGTGGGGCACACATACACACGAGCAACAACAAAACACACACCACACCACACCACACACACACACACACACACACCACACCCCAACACACACACACAACACACATACACAACACATTTAAGCTGAACAATAAATTTTACAACCTCTACTTTCTGAATTTTAAAGTAGAATCGATAATGTTACAAGATGGTAATTTAGAATTCGGGGATCTACATTTTTTATTTAGCAGATGAAAACTTAAAGGGGGGGCAACAACACAAACACCACACACACAAAACCAAAAACCACACACACACACATACCACATACACACACACATACACACACGGAAAAAGCACTTTAAGCTGTAAAAACCACGCAAACACACATACACAGGTTTTCACACCGTCCTGTGAACGACCATCTAACCTTTCTCCTCTTCCCCCCCTCTTTCTACACTAAGTAGACCTACTCTCCCCTTTCTCTCACTTTTTACCTAAATCTCCTCTCTCCTATCACTCCTACCTATCTCTCTCCTCTATCCCTCTCCCATCTTTCCCCCTAACTCCTTACCTCTAACACCCCCCCCCCTCTAACATCTCTCCCCCCTAACACGACTCCCCTTTACTCTCCCCTCTCCCCTTCCCCCCCCTCTCCCCCCCCTAGCCTCTCCCCCCTCGCCTTCCATCTCCCCCCTTTTTTCCCCCCTTCCCCCCTTTTTTGCTTCCCTTTCTCCCTCCCTCCCTCCCTCCCTCTCTCTCTCTCTCTCTCTCTCTCTCTCTCTCTCTCCTCTCCTCTCTCTCTCCTCTCTCTTCTCTCCTCTCTCTCTCTCTCTTGCTTCTCTCTCTCTTGCTCTCTCCTTGCTCTCTCTCCTCTCTCTTCTCTCTCTTGCTCTCTCCCCTCCTTGCTCTCTCTCTCCTCCTTCTCTCTATCTTGCTTCTCTCTCCCCTTTGCCTCTCTCCTCTTGCTCCTCCCTCTTGCTCTCTCTCTTGCTCTCTCTCTCTTGCTTCTCTCCTTTTGCTCTCTCTCTCTTGCCCCTCTCCCTTGCCTCTCTCTATTTTCCCTCTCTTTTCCTCTCTCTCAAACGCTCTCTCCTCTTTTGCCTCTCTCTCTTTGTTTCCCTCTCTCTTGCTCTCTCCTGCTCTCTCTCTCTCTCCTTGTCTCTCTCTCCTCTTGCCTCTCTCTTTTTGCTCCTCCCTCTTTTTGCTCTCTCTCTCTTTTGCTCTCTCCTCTTTTGCTCTCTCTCTCTCTCTCTTGCCTCTCTCTCTTGCTCTCTCTCCTCTTGCTCTCTCTCTCTCTTGATCCTCTCTCTCTGCCTCTCTCTCTCTTTTGCCCCCTTCCCCTCTTGCTCTTCTCTCTCTTGCCTCTCTTGCTCTCTCTCCCCTTTTGCTCTCTCTCTCTCTTGCCTCCTCGTCCCCTTTTCCCTTCAACTCCCCCCTCCCTTCTCAAAAAAAAAAAAAAAAAAATGGGGGGACTCGCGGGAACCAAGTCGATAGAATTTCGGGTAGGAGGAGGGATGGGGACATGGAAAAGGATGGGAAAAAGAGTGGGAGAGAAAATTAGGAAGCTTTCTGAAAAAATGAGAAAGACTCTCTTGAAATTGGAAAGGAGGTTGGAGAAGGAGACAAAGAATTGGGAGGCACAAGC